AAGTTAAAGAAGGCCATGAAGGGTCATAGAATTTGCTTTACTATGGACACTTGGACATCTATTCAGAATTTGTGTTACATGTGTTTGACTGCTCATTTCATTAATGATAATTGGAAACTTCAAAAACGAATCATAAATTTTCAACAAGTTGAAGATCACAAAGGAGAAACATTGGGTTGGAAAATTGAGTCCTGTTTGATTGAATGGAACATTGATAACATATTCACCTTAACAGTTGATAATGCTAGTTCTAATAATCTCACAATTCAATATTTGAAAACAATAATCTAAGATTGGAAGGGGACTATTTTGCAACATGAGTTTATTCACATGCGTTGTTGTGCATATATTCTTATTCTCGCTGTGAGTGATGGGTTGAAAGAAATGGACGATTATATTGCCAACATTAGACTTGTGGTGAGATATGTGAGGTCTTCTCCTCACAGGCATGATACTTTTAAGAAGTGTGCGGCCACACTCAAACTTGATTCAAAAGCTCTTGTATGCTTAGATGTACCAACTAGGTGGAACTTTACCGATTTGATATTGGAGGCCACTGAGAAGTATGAGAAGGCTTTGAACCGCTTGAAGTTTGTGGATTCCAATTTTGAACCTTATTTCAAAGATGTTGATGGTGGCATAAGGAGAAGTCTGAATGAGTTGGATTGCAAAAAATGTAGATTGTTTTAGAGGTTTGTAAAATTATTTTATCTTGCAACTAAGAAATTTCCAGGGTCTCTCTTTATTACTTCCAATGCTTTTTACAAAGAAATGTTTGTTATTGAAAGCAAAATTAACCAATCAATTTTGGAGGAGGATAATACTTTGAGCACAATGGCAAAGACTATGAAACAAAAGTTTAGCAAGTATTGGAGGAATGGAAGTAAGATCAATTTGTTATTGTATGTTGCGGTTGTTCTTGATCCCACAAAAAAAATGGCATACTTGAAGTTTTGCTTTTCAAATTTATTTCTTGGAAATAATAAGAAGGTGGAAGATATGGTAGACAAGGTTAAGAGTTGTTTAAGTCATTTGTATAGCCATTATGTCACACTTTATCCTTCAAATGAGAAACTTCCAAGTGTGAGTGAAGTTGTGAATATGATGGAAGATGATGATGATGATCCTTATTCTTTGGTTGACTCCCAATTTAATTCTTATTTGGAGGGGCAATGCACTAGTGGATCTAAGTCAGAATTGGAACAATATTTGTTCGAGGTTGAACATTTTGCAAAGAATCAAACATTTGAGATTTTCGATTATTGGAAAGTGAATGCAACCAAATATAGAGTGCTATCGCAACTTACAAGGGATGTGTTGGCCATGCCTATTTCTACCATTGCATCGAAGTCGGCTGTTAGTACCGAGGGGACATATTCTTGACCCATTTCGTAGTTCACTCTTACTTTCTATGGTTGAAGCTCTTGTATGTTCTCAAAATTGGCTTCGAAGCAACCTTTCAATTTCTCTTCGAAAGGTGATGGATGATATGGAGGAATTTGAGCAATATGACTTAGGTAATATGAGAATTTATGTATCTTCATTTTTATTTGTATTGTTTATTTTCTAATGTAAGTTTTATTGATCTTCTCTTGTTGACTCCTAATTAGGTACTTTGGAGTCAAGCTCATCTTCAAGTTCAACCTATAATGTTAATGCTAACACTATAATTGAACTTTAATCCATTTGCTCATTGGTAAATTTTTCATATACTTAGCACATTTTCTTACTATATTGAGATGCAATATATAGACATTTGTTTATCTTTTTATTACTTTATTCTTTTACACTTTTTTTGTCAAAGGAATTATGAAGATTGAAGATTAAATTTTTTATTTTTCAGTTTGTTTTTGTGCAGGGTTCATCAACCAAATGCATGGAATTGAAATTTTTGGAACTTTGATGTGATTCATGATGATAGAGTTTGAGATATTGTGTTGCAAATGTTTTTATTTTATTTGACAACAATTTTATTTTGTTGCATTTTGAATGAATGTAATAGTTAATGAAGTTTGTTTGACAACAATTTTATTTTATTTTATTTTCATTTTATTATTGCATTTTGGATAAATGTAATAGTTAATGAAAAATTACTTTTAGGTAAGCTTAGGATTTTGAATGATTTTTAATTTTGTATTATTGGGTAGTAGTAGAAGGAGAATGTTAAGAAAGTAGTTGGAGAATGAGATTGATGATTTAGCTCAGGATTTTAAATGATTTTACTTTAATTGTATTGTTGGGTAGTAGATTAATTTTCAATGATTTTGAATGATTTTAGGATTTTGAATGATTTGTTTGTGTTAGGAATTAATTTTGTTGTGTTTTTAATTCTATAAGTTTTAATTCATTAATTATTAATGTTGGAGGAATTTTAGCAAAATTGGAAGAAAATGACCTAAAATAAATATTTACAAAATGGCAAAAAAAAAACTCAAAAATTAATTCTTAAAGGAAAAAATCCAAACCGCAAACCGCCCGCACATCCGCAAACCCTATCCACACAAACCGAAAACTGCACTACGGCGGTTGTGGTTTGACTTTTCTCTAAACCGCATAGATGCGAGCGGGTCAAAACCGAACTGCAAACCGCACAAATTCGATCCGCAAGCACCCCTAGTATTAGTAATGGGGTGAGAGAATTCCCTCGGTTATGTAGTAGTTATAATTATTAGTCATGTAATCAATCTTTTAATGCAATGAAGAATTTCAGTTCCAATTGAACCAATTGAATACTTGTCCACACAAATAAATAAATACTTACATAATAACAATAGTATAAATTAATACCTTTGCAGAATGTCAAGAAAGACCAAGAATGTTGGGCGACGACAAGAGCCTGAAGATGTAAACCTAGCAGTAAATAATTTGTTGAGGGCAATTATTGATAGTGTTCGAGGCCTGCCTAGATGAGAGAGATAGACAGACAGATCAAAACTGATAGCAAAATTCTGCAAGGTAAATCCACCAAAAAAAAAATCAGTGATTCTAACCTCCTAGTGGCCGAGTCTTAAATAAGGCAGACAAAGAAAATCCTAACAACCCTGGAGGTCACAGAGGACAGAGACAAGGTAATCCTAGCCTCTTTCTAATTTGTGGGAGAGGCTGACTATTGGTGGTCTATGGTGACCCACTCACATCCCATAGCTCAGATAACTTGGGACCAATTTGAAAGGCTTTTCTTGGAAAAGTACTTCCCAAAATCTATCAAGCAATAAATGATTCAGGAATTCCTGCACCTCAAGCAAGGAAAGATGATGGTGGCCCAATACGCCACTCGATTTGAAACCCTATCAAGGCATGCCACAGCCCTAGTGGTAGAAGAAGAAGATATGGTGAGGAAGTTTGAGTGAGGCTTGGATCCAGAAATCTAAGAACGGTTGATGGTCGTCTAATTGGCCACCTATACCCAAGTGGTGGACCGAGCTTTGATGATGGAGTGGGAGAAAGTAGATGTTGCTAAGAACTACAGTTAGTCAAGAGGAGCTGGACTGATTTGAAATAACCGTTCGCAGAACACCTCTGCCCCTTACAACAGAGGATCCCAACAATCGTAATGGTGCCAACAAAATCACCAAGGGAAGGAATGGTTTGGCAAATGTTTTCGCTATGGATAGGTGGGGCGCTGAAAAAACAAGTGCCCTCAGCCAGGAGGTTATGGTTTAAGGCAAAGAAGGGCCACCCAGCAGAACAAGTACCAGCCCAACGCCGAGGCCAAGCCGGCTTACAACTCTCAAGCAGTTGGGATGCAAGCTCAAGCAGCAGGGAACATTGGAACATCAGCTCCGCAGTTCCAGGGTACTAAGAATGGTAAGAAGCCATGGGAAGCTAACCCAGGAACTACCGGAAGAGTGTACGCACTGAATGAGGAAGGGGACCCATCAATAATTCAAGGTACTCTGATCCTTATGAATTCTTGTGTGAAAGTACTATTTGATTCTGGAGCTTCACACTCCTTTATATTTACTGCATGTGTAAAAGCCTTGGGTTTAGAACCAGAACAATTAGAAAACTGATGAGTGTGGCATCACCCCTAGGAGGACATACTCGAGTAGATATGGTATGCAGGTCTTGTGAGCTAGGAGTCTCAAATTTACATTTAACCTGTGACTTATGGGTTATGAAGATAACAAACTTCAATGTCATTTTAGGGATGGACTAGTTCTCTGTCCACAAGGCAGTTATTGATTGCCAAAAGAAGATAGTAATCGCCTGTTTAGTGGATGACATCCGCTTTCAATTTAAGGGAGATAGGCAAGAGTCCTTGTCACTATTTATTCGAAGATCACAATGGCATAGCCAATTGGTGGGATGGTTAGCTAGCCTGACCTTGGGAGCTTAAGACCAGATGGACCTAGGCCTACCTAGAGTGGTGTGTGAATATGAAGACGTCTTCCTAGATGAGTTACCAGGATTACCCCCGAAACGGGAATTGGACTTTATAATCAAATTATAACTCGGGACGTAACCCATATCCATGGCACCCCACCGTATGGCGCCAGCTGAGCTTAAGGAGTTAAAAACTCAATTACAAGAATTATTGGACAAAAGGTTCGTTAGACCAAGCACTTCGCCATGGGGAACGCTGACATTATTCGCTAAGAAGAAATACGACACCCTTAGATTGTGTATTGACTACCGTTAACTCAATAGAGTTACAATCAAGAATATATACATGTTGCCCAAGATCAACGATCTTTTCGACCAACTTTGAGGGTCTAATTGTTTTTCTAAGATCGATCTTCGATCTGGGTACCACCACCTTAGAATCCGAGAAGAAGACGTCTTAAAGACCGCATTTCGAACCCGATATGGTCATTACAAGTTTGTGGTTATGCCCTTCGGGTTAACTAACGTGCCTAGCGTGTTTATGTACCTAATGAATACCTGGACCAGTTTGTACCTAAAGAAGGTGAAATTCCTGGGTCATGTCGTCTCCAATAATGGAATCTCAGTGGACCTAGCAAAGGTTGAAGCGGTAATCAAATGGAAATGACCCAAGACAGTTTTTGAAATTAGAAACTTCCTAGGACTGGCTAGCTATTATAGAAGATTCATCTAGGATTTTTTGAAACTAGCCAAACCGATGATTCGACTGACCCAAAAAGGGGTAAAGTTTGAATGGAGTGACACATGTGAAAGGTCCTTCCAGGAGTTGAAGAAAATGTTAACAAGTGCCCCAATTTTAATCATCTCCAAGTGTGATGTTGGGTGCAGTGTCTATTGTGATACCTCTAAGGAAGGATTATGAAGTGAATTAATGTAAGAAGGGAAGGCCATAACCTACGGGTCCAGACAATTAAAAAACCATGAAAAGAATTACCCCACTCACGACCTAGAGTTGGCAGCCGTAGTGCATGCGCTCAAGTCTTGGAGGCACTATCTATACAGTGAAAAATTTAAAGTTTTTACGAACCATAAAAGCCTAAAATACCTGTTCACCCAAAGGGATTTAAACATGAGGTAGAGGCGATGGATAGAGTACCTCAAAGACTATCATTTTACATTGTCTTATCACCCAGGGAAAGCTAATGTGGTAGCTGAGGCATTAAGTCGCAAGTCAAGGAAAGTCATGGCTAGTATTGTTGTAAAAGAGTGGGAAATGGTGGAGACTCTTAACAAGTTTGGAGTCCAGTTGGAACTACAAAGCGAGAGGACCTGTTTATGTGCCTTAGCCTCTACTCCCAAGTTACTCCATAAGGTCCTAGAAGCCCAAAAGTATGACCAGGAGGCAATTTTCCTTAAGGCACGACTTACATCAAGCGAGTTGTTACCTGGTTAGGACATCTCTAAGGATAATGGCTTAAGATTTCAAGGTCAGACATTCATGCCTGACATCGAGCCCTTGAGAGAAGAGGTGCTAAATGAATTTCATCAGTCAACCTTTGCAGTACACCCAAGGAAAACAATGATGTACCAAGATTTGAAGCGCTAGTATTAGTGGAATGGCATGAAGAAGGGCGTAGCAACACATGTGTCAATATGCCTCACCTGCCAGCAAATAAAAGCTGAGCACCAAAAACCAGTAGGAACACTTCAGCCGTTTCCAATCCCATAGTAGAAATGGGAGCGCATCACAATAGACTTTGTGTTCAGATTGCCAAGAACCCCTCTAGGACACGACTGTGTTTGGGTAATTCTGGACCGACTGACCAAGACTGCCCACTTCTTACCCATAGGGACAATCGACAAGTTGGAAGCATTAAGGCAGTTATTTATCAAGGAAATCGTCAGATTGCATGAAGTACCAGTTTCTATTGTATCAGATCGAGACCCCCCTTTCACATTTTACTTTTGGCAGAGCCTACAAAAAGCCATGGGCACAGAACTATGCCTTGGTACCGTCTTTTACTGCAGATCAATGGACAATCAGAGAGGACCATTCA